CGCACGCTGCTTGGCCGCTTCGCCCCCGAGCCCACCCCCACCGGCAAGTCCTCGGGACAAGGGCGAACGCGGGGAGGGAGGACCGGGGGTTGCCCTTCCTCTCCCGCAGCCCCCAGGGCAGAGCAGCCTGAAGGACCGCGGTGCCGGCGGTGCGTACCGGCACGGCCGTGCTCTCAGCCCCCCAGGCTGCTGGGCTGCTCTCCTAAAACTGGGTCTCGTTAAGGGCGTCGGGTAAGGGGCTCCAAAATCCAGGTTCACCAGATCAGGGCGGAATTTTAACAAGACCTGTTTCAGAGTATCGAAACTTGTGTACGCCGGCGATTGTGTTTTAACTTGTGGAAGCCGGGATTGCAACTAACTAACCAAGACACGATATTCTGTTTTGAAAACTGACGTGCATTTTAAAAAGTAATTTAAAGCTCCTAGTAATTGACAGAAATGCTACACTGAGCAAGGCCGGGAGCTGGGAAAAGTGTCTTTTGGCGCACGGTGCCCCGGGATCTGTAATAAGACCAAAACCGTGGACTTTCCCAAGTAAGCAGTTCTCAGACACCTGAGGTCTTCGCTGTGAGCTGGCGTGCAGGTTTCCTGAGCGAACACCTACTGCCGGGGTGACGGTCACTCCTCCCTGCCCCTGCCCGCCAGCAGCGACGCATGAGCACACGGGTGGCGGTGGAGTCCGGGAACACCTGGGTGGGAGGCGTGGTTGGTGCCTTGCTTCCCGGTCCCTGTAAAACACATTGGGGTTTTTGTTTCTCCTTTTGTTAACGTTGCCACAGGGTTAATACTTTCCTGAGCAAGTTTGATATTTTTTTTTTTTTCATTCTTGCTTCATTGTGCTTTTGCCTTTTATCTGGCATCGCTGAAGCCTGAGCAAATATTTAAAATAGTGTGTGAGGAGACAGGTCATGGAGAAGTTGAAGTTCATGTTCCAAGAACTGTAAAACTGAGTCGCGTAAGTCTGAAGTTCTCTGCAACAGGCTGTATCCTTGAAAAATTCTTTCTGTTGAAGTAGGTTTGAAACCTAGCTATTTGCAACACTTGAAAATAAAGCGGATATTAGGCTTTCCAATTTGGCAGCACTTATGAGTTGTCCTGTATTATCTTCCATTTAGCTCCATCTGCATATGATTTGCCTGTGCTGAAAGGTGTAAACATTCACTGGAGTTTTTAATAAATGCTAAGCTGTATGGTCCAAAGCATTTTGTTTGCAGGATTTTTCTGATGTGTCTAACACTGTTGGAGCAGAGCCCTTTAGTAATATTGCATCAAGATTGCCACATTGCCCTTGCAAACTCGTGCTTATCATTTGTGAACCCAGTGGGAGCAGGCTGGTAGACCTCCAGAAATATTTTCCACAGCATGATTAATTCAGAGCAGTAGCAATCCCTTCTAAGTGTAAGAATGCTTGTGCACAGTAGAGAGATAAGGGGCACCTATTAGAGGTGTTGTCACCACAAGCTAAATAAAGCCTTGTGCCAAATTTTCTACTTCTTGTTACCAAAGTAATGGTGCAAAGTTTTGTGTGTGTGTGTATGTGTATGAGGTTCATTTTAAGAAGCTGGCTAATAATAAGAAACTGCATTTGGCTTATGTAATGAACTCAATGGGATATATTTCTTACATGGGGCTTTTTTTCCCCCCGTACACTTCCTCCTGACATGACTGAAAACAGGCTAGTTAATGAACTGTGTAATCTCTTAAGAAGTTCCCACATCATGTGGAAGAAGTTAAAAATGCTTAGCTGTCCCACAGGGTGTGTTTTGAGCCCTTAGGATTGGCAGCTACGGGCAGTGGCAGACCCCACACGTGCTGAGCTGTACACCACGGTCACTGCCCTGGCACCTGAGTATTGCATCCCTTCTTCGGGCATCAAAGTGAGTCTGCGATGACACCATGGAAACATGAGCTCTGGCACGTGCTAACAACCATGGGGTGTACGCTTGCCTAGCCATGCCGCTCCTAAGGCTAGCAGAGCTTGTTCCGGTGCTTCGTCGCTACTGCTGTGCCATGTGCTGGCTACACAAATCTAGTTCGTCCTCCGAATCTTCATTTCCAAAGCAAACATACTGCCTTGTGCAGTTGACAGAATGTGTTGACCCATTAACCTGTGGTGTCTGCTATGAGTGATATAACTGAAGCTGAGTTTATTAGGCCTGCTTAAGCAGTTCTTTCTCCTTTTGAAAGGATTGAGGCTTTGGAGAGTGATGAGACCAGGCATAAAGTAACTGAGCTGTGCCTGAAATTCTTCTTGGGGGAAGGATTGGTTGGTTGGTTTGTTGTTTTTTTACTTCAAAACACCTTAAAAAGCCATCCACTTTAACTTATTCTGAAGTCAAGAAAGGTGAGTCTTCTTCCATGACCTACAAAACGATGCTCACAACTGACCAACCACCAAAACACTAGCTTGAAGTCTCTTGGGAATGGCAGTGGTCGCTTCTGTCGCTTGCTGTAATCCGTCAGGAGAGCTGAGTGGCAGAAGATGATGCTGGGAAGGTGGAAAGGACCCTGATATGCAGAAATCTTTCAATCAACTGACTGAAAATCCATTATCTAAGTAGTTCTACCTTTTATTCAACAGCTGATGTGGAATTAGAGGTGGGCTAAAAACAGAGTGAAAGGGATGGAGGGAGGAGAGCTGAGAAGGGAGAGTTACAGGTGTGTCGCTGGGGAAAAGGGCAAATGGTGTCTCCACCACAGTGTGTGCAAGGCAGCAAATTACTGTTGGAAACTTGCATTTGGGTTACAAAACAATGTGTAGACATGAATTTATCTTTTGGGGTCACAGTTTCACTAATCCTTACACTCGTGGGAGGGGGGAGCACACCGTCTCCCAGGCTTTCACCTAAGTCAGGTCTACCCACAGACTTGTTGTATCAAATATACACTGCTCCTTACTCATTTGCATTAATGGAATGTTGCCGACAGTTCTCTTTGCTGAGAGTATGCTTCTCCAGCATTTTACTTTTTGGTGTGGGGGCAGCAAAAATCTGAGGATGAAAGAAGTTCACTTATGCCTCAGTAAACATTAACTGATATGCTGTCACTTCAAATTTACTGTTCCTTGGATTGCAGCAAATGAAAGTCTTTCAGGCCACTATTCTGCATCAAGAAGATCTGCCTGCAGGAGCTACGCAGCATAGCGTAAGGAGTGTTTAAAAGCTGAGGTACATGAATTTAAAGTATACTAACAATGGCTACATCTTTTCTTTGTTTTTCAGAATTGGTCTGGGAGTCTTATCGTAGCCTCTTTAACTGGTGCTTTTGGGTCGTCTTTTCTTTATGGTTACAATCTCTCAGTGGTGAACGCTCCTGCAGTGGTAAGTGACTGACAAAACTCTAATTTAGTATCAGTAGAGGGCAGTCCTATCCAGCTATTGTGCACTCCTCACCATCCTGCTATTATAATCCTCCTCATGTAGTAGAAGAGGTTAAACTTTGTAAAGTAAGTTACCTTTGCCTGAACGCTGCTTTCTGCTGTCTAAGAGGTTTCTACATAAATTCAGTAGCTGTTAGGAAACTAGATGCTGATGTTGAGGTGAGTGGGTGCACATGGTTTGCTTCTCATTCTCCCCAACCCCAGGCTAATATTAAGTCTTCTTGCACACTGTTGCGTGATAAAGTATTTTTAATAGTCTGTTTTTTTAGTGAGTGTTTGGTAGTTCAGTGCACATGTTCAGCAACTTCTGTTCACATCGTTCAATTCTGGAGGGTTGCACAACGCTTCATTCTCACAGTGCTGATATTATAAATAATGCCTTTGGCTTTCTCTTAAATAATGGGCCTCCTCTGCATTTTCTGGTGATGTCTTGTTTGGTTCTGAATTCAAAACCACTGTGTTGACCTTCTGTTGGCTGCAACATATGGAATAGATTTGATGAATAGAGTACTATGAAATCAGAGTACAATACTTGACTGATATTTTAATGAAATTCCCCTATCATAAATGGAAATCTGAACATCTTGTTTTTATACTGGTTGTCTAGAGATCTGCTTAATTCAGTCAAGCACAGCAATAAGGAGTTCATTGGATTCGCAAGCAATGCTGTTTCAAAAACTAGCTAGTACATTTTGGGAACAAGCTGTTGAAATTCTATTTCAAAATAGTTCCTTTCCAAAGCCAAACTCCTTCTTTTATGAAAATATTAAAACATGTAGTTAGATTTCCACCTAAAGGTTGGCCATATTAAAGATGGATGCAATACTTATGCAAATAATGAAAGGGTTTTTTTTTTTTAATTTAGGTTTCATATGTGTATTTTATTTGATAAACTGACAACCCAGAGGTTTAGGAAAAGACTAACCCTGTAGGAAGTTTTGATTGTACCCTTTGTGTAACTTCTGGGAAGTTCCTGGTACGTTTTGCACCATTAGCACAGGGTTGGAAAAACTGGTTATTTATTCCATCATGACATGTCTAGGCATCACTTTGCCTTCAGATGAGTTCAAGGTGAACATGGCTTAGAAGAAATCAGCAGAACTGTGAGCAATGGTGTTGATTGTCCTGATGGTAGACATCCTTCCTGCACTGCCTGGGTACTGTCAGCAGAGCAGTGAGAATGATCCAATTGCTAAATTTTAAAGCACTGTTTAAATAATGGGCTGTCCCGGTAATCAGGGCTCTCCTGTTAACTTTCTACAGGAGTAAAGGAAAGAAAGGATGATAGGATGTGTTGTTTGGCAGCTCTCAGACACTTAGGTTTGAACCATATGATAGTAGTGACCAGACCCCCAGACCAGGTGGGGAGGTTGCAGGTGCAACCATACCATGATGAATGTTAAATTCAAGGTGTCATGGTTAGTAACACTTCCAGGATTGTCCAATTTTTCTTGGCATCTTGACTGTTGCTTTTGGACTGAAAGTAAGCACCATGCTGTTGCTGATTTTAGTCACGCTGTTGACAGGTATGTGTGAAGTCTGTCTTTGTCCAGCATGGTATTTTAGTGTTTATTGAGAACTTCATAGCTATACATTATCTAGGGCTAAGGAGTAGTCCTACCAGCAAGGAATATATAGCTGTGTAGTTCAATAACAAAATACCAGGGGTCCTCTCTCTAGCCCTAGGATTGATCTGTGTCTTCTATTTGCCAAGGAGAGGCCATCTTCCTGTCCCTGTTCCCTGAACTGCAGTGACCAGGCTGAAGGGAAGAGTTTTTGGGTCTGCTCATAGCTATCCACAACTCACAGCATGCCATACCAAAGCTGTCCTTCTTGCAGCACAAGAAAAGGAACCTGGGCCCCGTATGTTTTCCCCCAATCTCACCAAATCAGTCTGCTGCAAGGTGACCCTTTGGGAATACTGATGTGAGGTGACTGAGGAAAACCAATAGGGAGATAAATAGCACTCTCATAAGAAGGTATCTTGGGAATGCAGTAGCTCCTAAAATCTATAAGCTGATTTTCATTTATAAACTGGGTAGGCCAAATAACTCTTCTGGTGATGTTCAGCTTACAGCCTGCACTGTATGATCATCTCTGTAGGATGTTGGATATCTTCTGCCCCTATTTACTTCAGTATAATTCCTTTTGATGTCTGAAGTCTTCCAACCTTAGAGAAGGAATGTGTGATGCTTTGATAGGTGTTGAAAAAATGCTTGATAATGACTGTTGACTAAAACATGGGATGTTTCCACGATTTTGGACCTGAACAGATCAGCATGATGATTGAGCTGTGGTGAGGAAGTTAATTTAAGACCAGACACATGGCCATTACTGTTATCAAAATATTCCCAGTCACAGTGGAGTAAAATGGTAAGTAGTACAGCAAGCAGCAAAAGCAAAAAGCAGCCACTAACGAGCACTAAACTCTAATATAGAGTAAGGCAAGCAAGCACAGAAACCTGCCTGTTAATAACTGAACCATAATAACAGCTATAAATTCAATATAGCACATTCCAATCAAATCTGTCATTATCTCGAACTCTTCAAGCCCTGCGTTGTGCACCAAAAAAGACTGTCATGGTTTAACTCCAGACAGTAACTAAGTACCACACAGCTGCCCCTCATTCCCCCCACAGTGGGATGGGAGAGAGAAGCTGAAGAGTAAAGGTGAGAAAACTTATGTGTTGAGATAAAGACAGTTTAACAGGTAAAGCAGAAGCCGTGTGCACAAGCAAAGCAAGGAATTAATTCACTGCTTCCCATGGGCAGACAGGTGTTCAGCCACTTCCAGAAAAGCAGGGCTTCACCACATGCAATGGTTATTTAGGAAGACAAACTCCACCACTCCAAACATCTCCCCCTTCTTTCTTCCCTAGCTTTATATGCTGAGCATGACATCATAGGGTATGGAATATCCCCTTGGTCAGTTGTGGTCAGCTTTCCTGGCAGTGTTCCTTCCCAACTTCTTGTGCGCCCCCAGCCCACTCACTGGTGGGGGTGGGGTCAGAGGTAAAAAAGGCCTTGACTCTGTGTAAGCACTGCTCAGCAGTAAAAAAGACCCACCCCTGTGTTTTCAGCACAAATCCAAAACACAGCCCCATACCAGCTTCTGTGATGAAAATTAACTACCCCAGCCCAAACCAGCACAGCAACATTGAAGAACTGTTTGCAAATTCTTGTGTATATTTCGGTGCCGAAAGTTGTGCCAGCTCATCAAACTGCAGGGTACCACCCCTGCAGTTCTCACCAGTGAACTTTACTACACGTCATCTCATAAGGTAGAGTCAATCCAACTTCCTTTCTGTTGCAAGAGGACAATAAACTGCACCAGCTCTGCTCGGAGCAGAGGTTGCTTCCCACTTAATCCCTTGCCTTTCCATGGGAAAGGGCAGTAGCTCATTGCAGCTGTGCTTCACTCTGCACACAGCACTTGACCACATGAGGAACCTGGAATTAGGAGCCTCCATGGGCTTGTCCAGAGAATTACTAGAATTTATTAAAAATGTGTGGGAGCATTTGGCAGTAGGAAGACAAATGCTTTAATTGAATACAAGTTAAAGCTGTCTTTTTGTGAGCTGAATTTCTACAATTCATTCCATGGTCCGGTTGTGGACAAAGTCTGTAGAACAATGAAATGTTTTGTGCAGGAAGCAAAGTCTCTGCTGCTTACTGCTACGCAGTGCTTGCCCCCTTCCTGAGGGCAGCTACAGCTCTGTGTGCCTTTTAGAGCTGATACAGGGAAATCAAGACTATTTAGCAGTTGTCAGTGTGTGTGTGACTCTCACCACTACGAGTAAGGTAGTATTTCTTCTCTAAAGACCAGCTCATCTATTGCCTTGATGTAAGTTATTTAAAGGTAAAGAGACAAAGAAAATACTTCCCTTATATATAAATAATACATTATATTTATATCCCTTATTCCCCTTCTATTTCCCACCCAAGCACTAATACCTTAATGAACTGACGCAGCAGAATACAAGATACTGGTATCAGTCAGCTACCATACCTTATAGGCTTTGGTTAGGGGTTAAAATTTTTGTACACACATTTATGCCATTAGCATTGTTCAGACAACTGATTAAAAACTCAAAGGAGCCTTTCCACGGAATTCAATGGATTCAAACCCAGTGGATCTCTTGGATCAGATTTGTTTTGTTTCATGTGTAACTCCTTAAAACCTGTATGTGTTATGTTCACCTGTATGTGAACGTTCGTGTGTTACTATTGAGCATTTAGTTTGTACTTTCTTTCCTTGGATATTTGCAATTATTTGATATCTCCTTGCAAATAACAAAGCTATGCTGAGAAATTAGTCATAACACAAGGGGAGAATAATTTGCATACTATTTTTAGTCATTATCATTAGCAAGAAATGCTAATATTTTTCTAAAAATGTTTTCTCTAAGTATTCATTACTCTCAGAAATGAACTTCAAATAAAGAAAAGATATCTGAATCTAAATATAATCTGAGCATTAGTGTTAGAGATAAGATTTATTATTTGATTTAATGGCAGATTCATTTGGAAGTTTACTGTGAGATCTTCTAAATGGACCAAGGCACTACATTTACTTTTTTTTCTCTTTGCTTGTATAGAAACATGCAAGATAGGATGAAAGAAGTACCTCTGTTCCCCTTTAATTTAGGGCACATACTAGAAATTTAGAATCATAGAATCTTTTAGGTTGGAAAAGACCTTTAATATTGTCAAGTCCAACCATTAACCTAACAGTGCCAAGTCCACCATTAAACCACGTCCCGAAGCACCTCTTCCACAGTCTCTTAAATATCTTCAGGGATGGTGACTCAACCACTTGCCTGGGCAGTCTTTTCCAATGTCTGACAACCCTTTCTGTGAAGAAATGTTTGCTAACATCCAGTCTAAACCTCTCCTGGGGCAACTTGAGGTAATTTCTTCTGCTTCTATCACTCATCACTTAGGTGAAGAGACCAACACCCACCTCCCTACAGCCTCCTTTCAGGTACCTGTAGAGTATGATAAGGTCTCCCCTGAGCCTCCTCTTCTCCAGGCTGAACAACTCCAGTTCCCTCAGCCACTCCTCACAGCACTTGTGACCCAGCTCCACCGCCCTTCTCTGGGCATGCTCCAGCACATCCATGTCTCTCTTCTAGTGAAAGGACCAGAACTGAGCACAGGACTCAAGGTGTGGCCTCACCAGTGCCCAGTACAGGGGGACTATCACTGCCCTGGTCCTGCTGGCCACACTGCCCATGATGCAGGCCAGAGTGCTGTTGGCCGCCTTGGCCACCTGGGCATACTACTGGCTCATATTCAGGCAGCTGTTGACCACCACCACCCGGTCAGCTGGCCACACTGTTCCTGATGCAGACCAGGATGCTATTGTCTGCCCTGGCCACCTGGGCACATGCTGACTTGTATTTAGCTGGCTGTTGACCAACACCCCCTGGTCCTTTTCCACCAGGCAGCTTTCCAGCCACTCGTCCCCAAGCCTGTAGTGTTGTGTTGAGTTGTTGTGGTCCAAGTGCAGGACCCAGCACTCGGCCTTGTTGACCCTCATACAATTGGCCTCAGCCCATCAATCCAGCCTCTCTAGATCCCTCTGTAGAGCCTTCTAACCCTCAGGCAGATCAACACTCCCACCCAGCTTGGTGTTGTCTGCAAATTACTGAGGGTGCACTCGATCCCCTTGACCAGGTCACTGACAAAGATATTAAACAGAACTGACCCCAGTACTGAACTCCAGGGAACACCACTTGATAGAAGGTAGACAGTAAGTGGTACGTTCTACCTCCACATTTTTAGATACTTTGCAGGTGGAGAGATGGTGTTTCAAACTAAATAAAGTCCTCAGATGGAATAGTCTATGTGTTTAAGGCTGGAATACTTAAATTTTAAATCCCTACTTTGGCCAGGGATAATATGGCGTTAGACTTATCGTATTGATGCTGTGCCAGGATAATTTATTACTTATGGCATGCTGGAGGAAATTTGAGAAGAAACTGCAGAAAAGTGCCGAGATTACACTTTGTGATACTGTAGAGCTTGTTGGGGAGCGGTGACACAGAAGGGGTGAGAGCTTTACACAGAGTGCTCTGCCTGCCTGCAGTAGTGACTGCCTGGTACTGCATCGTTGCCAGAGCATCAGACACCATGGTGGCATTGGAGCCTTGCTTGATTTTGAGGTGGGAACAGCACAAAAATGAGGAAGCTTGACTAAAAAGAAAGTAAATAGGTGTTGTCTCTCCAGGCAACACAGATACTCTGTAAAAATGTCATACTGGGCTCATTTACCTTTTAGAAAGATGAAGAAACTTTGGTATAATTAAACATCTGGGAATGGAAGTTGTTAGAAGGTATCCTTCAAAAACCTGCAGTTGTGCTCACATGAGGAAAGCAGGAAGAGAATATAAACTGGCACATTGAAGTCTAAAAAAATTGAACTGCTCCTGGAGATGGGTACTTAGAGCAGGCACAAAAAACCTCCAGCCACAGGTCTTGGGGATGTAAGGCTGATAGATGAAGCTGAGAAAATGTGTTTAGAAAATACAAGGACAGAATAAAAAGCATGAAATAATGTTTTGGATTGGAAAAGTCTGGGGAGGTCCCACACTGAAACCTTCTTTACAGGGGTTGTATTAGAGAAGTTGAAATGTCAGTAGAGATACAGAATAAAATTAGTGATGATTTGTTTTCTATTGTCAAAATATCTTAACATTTATTTAAGAATGAGAAAATATCTTAAAATACAGGCTGCATATCACAATTCAACTTATTTTTAAATAGCCTATGTAACAGAGACATTGAGATGGTTAATGTGACTTTACGAAACAGTAGTTTTTTGGGGGAAACTTGGAACATATATAAGAATTAGTTATTTGTACCCAGCAAACTAGCGGAAAATGGACTAGAAAGGTGAAAATGTGAAGAGTTGCTATGGCTTTTGCAAAGGAGAACTGTGACTCTGGCATCTGTTGCAGTTCAGAGATTCAGGAGGCACTTGGACTTTCAAAATACAGCCTGGAAGGGCCCTTATAGAAGGCTCTTAAGGAAATTAAGCTGCAATGGGAGAAAAGTGGAGGTCTCAGGATAGTTGAGGAGTTGGAAGATAAGTCTCAGGCTTTCATTTCTAAGAGAACCAGCTTGTCTGCCAAATAGATCTTAGGTGTCTGATTTCATGTGTGGTACATCTTTCATTACTGAAGATAAATTGCTTGCCTTGTTTAGAAGCCTGAACTTCATTCAAAAAGCACCTTACATAAATTTGAAGGGAAGAGAAGCTGTAACATACTGTTGTGGTTTAATTCCTGCCAGCAACTAAGTACCATACAGCCACTGGCTCAGTGTTATAAATATTTTTCTCAGCACAAATCCAGAACACAGCCTTATACTAGCTACTGTGAAGAAAGTTAACTCTGTCCCAAGTAAAACTAGCACACATACTTACAAAAGTTATTTGGGATTCTTAATTTTAACAGTGTCAGAAAACAAGCTCTTTTTGACTGATACTGTGGGCTTTTTTCTCCCCTATCAATACCAAAACAACAGCTGTCAGCTCTTGCCTCCTTCCCCTAACAGTTGTCTTGGCTGTAAATTCTTTGGGATGTGTTATCTTTCATTGCTTGGCTTCGTAGGTCCTTGATTTGGTATGGCTGCCAGATGTGACAGTGTCAATGCAAAAGTGGACTCAGCCTCCCTTCTTCCCTCAATCCATGAATGCTAATTGTTTTCACTGTGGGTTGGTTGTGGTTTTTTTTGTTGTTGGTTTGGTTTGGTTGGTTGTTTTTTGTTTGGTTGGTGGGTTTTTTTGTTGTGGGTTTTTTTGGTTTTTTGCGGGTTTTTTTTAGGCTAAATCCCTCAATACATGAATGCTAATTGTTTTCAATTCACACTGTGGGTTGGTTGTGGGTTTTTTTGTTGTTGGTTTGGTTGGTTGTTTTTTGTTTGGTTGGTGGGTTTTTTTGTTGTGGGTTTTTTTGGTTTTTTGCGGGTTTTTTTTAGGCTAAAGAATTTGTAGGATTACTCACTTTTACTGTACTAGCCCTTTGGAAAAAAATAGGCTAGTGAAAGGCATTTAGTTTTAGGCAAATCCGAGATCTGTTTTCTAGGATTGAAATACAAAATAGAGGTGATAAATGCTGTTTCATGGTGAGTGCAGTGTAGGGTTTTGCCAAAAGGATTCCTACTTCTATAACTTTAAAAGCATCTTTTAAAATTTTCCAGGGAATTTCCTAAGTTACGTGTGAACAGATACCCCCAAACCTGTGAACATATGGCTTTTGGTGCTGTGTCCTGTAAGACAAGCCAAACTCTTCTCTTGATATCTGTCATGTTGCCATCTGGCAGGAATGAGTTGTAACTCCCTTCTTTGTTACCTTAGCATTTCTGCCAATTCACCAACTTCTTCAAGACATTTTCACCTCCACCTGCTGCTGGAGCTGCCTTTTCTTCATTTCTTTCTTAGTTCCAAGTTACTGGCACTATAGATCCATTAAAAAGCAGTAAAACTATATAGTCTTAACATAAGACCGTTTAATGATCATTGATTGATGGTAGTTAGCATTTAAAAAATTCTGCGTGTTCTTCTTTTAAAGATGCTAATGCTAGGCAGTGCAGTTTTCATTGGCTTGTCAAAAAAACCATTACACTAGGATGTGATATGCCACCAGCCTGAGGTTAAGAGCATGTATGTGCACAGTGAACAGAGCTCAGCTGATGTGCAGTACCTTGCCAAGTGCGGGTGGTGTGGTTTTGTGGACCCTTCCTCTTTACAGATATTCAAAAAACTCCAGGCACAGTCCTGGGCAAGCTGTTCTAGGTGGCCGTGCTTGAGCAGAGTCTTGGACATGATGGCTTCCAGAGGTCTTTCCAACCTCAACCATTCTATCATTCTGTACCTGAGTCCTTAACCTCAGTTCAGGCTGAAATGTTTATACATAGGTACACAGTAAGGCTAAAAGAAACCCTTGTAAATGATGTAGCACCAGCCTAAGTGGTAACACCCTTGCTTTATAGGAGTTTCTGTGTTATAAGCCTCTTCGACATCCCTGTCTACCTGTAGTTTTTTCCCTACCTTATTTATGTTTTGCATGTAGTTAAACGTATGTATGCTTTGACCGGTTCTGTAAGTCTGTATTGCAGTTGCATCTACAAGTGAGGCCCCATTTTTTGGAAAAGGGAGATAGAAGAGCGAGGGTGATCCCGGCAAGCAGGCTACTGTGTGGTGGTTTTTTCTGTTGTTGTTCTGTTTCTTTCAGCTCTATTCTTAAAGTGTGTTTTTTACATGTATTGTTACGTATTTTCTTTCAGTATATCAAGAGGTTTTACAATGAAACATGGGAAAGAAGATACGGCTTTTCAGTGGATGATAGCACACTGACTCTCCTCTGGTCTATAACTGTTTCTATTTTTGCCATTGGTGGCCTTGTGGGTGCCATTATTGTTACCCCGATTGTGAAGTTCTTTGGACGGTAAGTGTATTGGAAATCTTGTAGTTTCTAAAGCAGTTTCTCACTTAGTGTCTCTAGAAAGCTTTGCTTTTTTTTTTTTTTTTTAAACCCTCTTCACCAGAATGTGAATTTAAACATCTTCAAATTATGAAAGCTCATTTCTGAAAGTTCCAAATTTCCAAGAGTATAATTAGTACCTTTCTCTCTGACCTTACTTAATTTGTGATGGTCTTGTGCATCCTTTGAGTCACAGAAGCCATTTTGTCTGAACAAGCAGCAGGTTGAATTGTCAAGGAGGTTGAATTGTCAAGAGGGCAAAAGGCAAATACAATAAAACAGGAAAGATACCACAAATGACTTACAGATTCTTGTTTCACGGGTCTGCTGAGTATCTTACTGAACACATACAAAGTTATCAATGTCTCATTTGCTTCTCAACAACATGTGTTGTCATGCAGTAATAAAAATTTGATTTTTTTCTTCCTTGTGTTACCTAAAAATACAGTTTGAAGAATGAAATTAGGGTGATGTTCGTGGTTGGTCCTCCCTGAGCTCGGTGACACCTTCCCTGCTCTGTGCAATGCAGTATTTTACCAAGTCTTGATCACAGAGAATATGAGTATTTTAGGAGTGTTTTTGCTGGTGTGTGTTTGCATTTTTGCTGCAGGAACTAACTAGATATTTCTATCAAATACTTGTTTCATACAGTCTTCCAAAGGTAATTTTAAAAGTAAATTGTAATTTGCCCATATTTAGAAGGGCAAAAAAAAAAAGCTATTATAGCATTCATTTTAGCTGCTCATTTGGCTTTTCCCTAATTGTAAATTCTATATAATTTGATAATTTTTGCTCCGTTAGGGACCACAGAAGGTCATCATGGAGGCTTAAACATAAGCATGCACCTCCACTGTTCTTACTTTTCTGTTCTACATTGTGACTATTTCCATCACTTCAGATTGTACTCTCCTAGGCCTGTTTGTCGTACTTCCAACTCTCCCACATCTGATCTTTCACCTCAAAGTGTATGTTTCAGGTTCTTCCATTTCATGCTTACAGCAAGTCAGTAAGTCTATTATCCATTCTTCATTAATTTATTCTGTCCCTTCACTTCACCATTTGATTTTAAATTCTTAAATGTTTTTTGTAGTCTCATGGTTGTTTTTAGGTTTGCAATTTCTTCTGCCAAATCATCAGTTTGGCTTTTACACACTTCTTAAGCTATGCCTGACTCAGACAGATTAGTTCCCAGAATTGTCGCTGAGTCTAATTTATCGAAAGGTGAAGTCAAAAACGGGTTCATAGACAGCTTGAATTTTTGGGGATGAATTCAACAGCTTTGTGTGCAGGTTTGTTAAAGTGGTGGCTGATCTCAGTCATATGAATACCACTTTAATGGGAGCAGGTCATATTTCCAGGTCAGAGCTTTAAATCTTGCAGACTCTGCCCCTGTTTATTATGTTTATCCCTGTTCAACTATGAAAACAGCTCTCTCATAGATAGGGTGTACAAGTACTTGATTACAGATAGGAAAGGATTGTGTCTCTCGGGGACACTGGATAAAGGCTGCTTGTCAAAGTACGGTTCTTGAGTTTGCTGTTCACACTGCAGTCGGTTCATCTGGTGTAGGAAACCAGACCGACGTATCGGTATGGTAATAGAGGAACGCATTATGAAATGTTGACAGAAAAATAAAATACTTGAGTATTAAATTGTTCAAGCGTAGTTTGGAGGGTTGTATGTATGATGAAGTAGAACTCCATTTACACTGACCCAAAATAATGAACTAGGGGGGATCAAAAGCATTAGTTAGAAATGATGTCGGACTTTAAAAAGAGCACTCTTGAATTATATTGCTGTAAGGTTAATAACATAATTTTCAAATTACCAGATTCCTAGGACCTACTTACTTTGAGAGTTGTAGAGTAATTTTTTCAGAGAGCATTCATCCACATAAGCGTAAGTGTCATGTTCAAATGTGGTTTTGGCATCTCATAATTTATATTCTCTTCTACTGAAGAGCGGCTGCTGTTGCATATCATGTACACCCAGTGGTGCTTAGGGGGTTGCTTAGGCCACTGCTAGGAGGCATTTGTAGGAGAAGGACAAGGCCTTCCTTCTAGCACAGTGAACCGTTTTGAGTATGAAGCGATTAAGGGAATTTACGTGGATTATCTTAGTAATGCTACTGCTTTGTTATTCTGAAGTCATCTACGGTAGTTGAAATGGTGATCCAGTATTCAATCTGTTACTGGCTTTTATTTAAACATCTAGTTTAAAGAAGACACAGCTTGTTATTTAAACACCTGGTTTCCTTATTATACTTTTTGTATAAGGTATCATATTTGCTCCTGAGTGGAGCTTCTAGACTCTTTCTGATTACTGAATTTTGAGACAACAATACATTTTTGATGAAACCTTAATTCTTTCATTTTCCTAGCTGTGGGTTTTAGACAAAAAAATATTATTAATTCAAATCTCTAATTAAAGTTATTGCAGCTGCAGAGGGCACATAGTCACTAGGATTCTGTTCTGGCCTCTGGAACTACCCTGTAACATGAGAGCAAATGACAACCTTAAAATCAAAAGAGATTAATCATATGTGGTTTTGCAAAAAGCCAAGGACAATTCTGAGGAAGAAATTCTCAAGTGTTTTCAATATCCAAAATATCTAAAAAAGAAAAAGACAGAAAAATATCCTTAAAGCTTAGTTCTGTTTGTGTCTAGCTGATGGGTGAAAACTGTCTGTCTCGGCTGGAACACTTACAGAAACTGATTTCCACTGAGCAAAGGGCTATTATCTCAGGACTACTTCACACTGAGTGTACAGGATGGGAAGTTACATTCCTGCAGCAGTATGGATAGTCCGACTTAGAGAACCGGTTTTGGCACTAAAACACAAAACTTAATGTTTGTCTTAGGATGTAGCTGCTTGGGACAAATGCTCCGTGCTCAGTCAGAAGTTTTTGAAAGCATCTTCCTTTTGGAATGCAAAATGCTTATTTCTTTTGACTAGAGAAAATTCTGAGTTATTTGAATGGAAGGAACAAATGTCTTCATGTCTAGATGAATGCTACTCTAGTATTTTTAGTGCAGTAACTGCAGCAGATCTGTGTGGAGCTCTGGACTGGAACTTCAGTCCAGGCTCTCATCCCAGGACTAGCACTGTTTTCCATGTTAGCTTTAGGCTGTGTCCACTTCACTGTCTCTTCCTCTGTTTACTCAGTTACAGAAATAGGGATATTGATGTGTGCTATAACCCTCAGCAAGACTGAAAAATGAAATGTGCTATGTGAGAACTACGTATGATATCTATACTTTGATACGTTTCATGTACCTTTTGGACAATCACTTGATCAATTTGTGATCTGGGATGTGAGAGAAATGATGAGGCTGGCCAACACATCAGTGTGTCTTTTCTTATGGTGGCTTAGTGCCGAAGTTCTCATGCTTACACTGTGTAAGTGTGGTGAGCACAGTTATCTGACAAATTGGTTGGATTTCCCAAGGGCGAGCGTCTGTTGCAGTGCTTTATGAAGTGTGGTATCTTTATATCATTTCTGTTAGAGCTATGCAAGCAGTGGTTTGGTTGGGGATTTTTGATTTTCTTCTTTTTCATATGCCTTGCTGCTAAGGTAATACGGTTTTGGCGTATGTGACCAGGAAAGCATAGGGTTTTTTTATGATTGCACCTATTTTGAATATCATGTCACCTCATGGGAAGTTTGGAGGTTTTTGCTGTATTTTTTTTCTTAGGAGTTATGATGAGAAGTTGTTCCCACTGTTCATGTTTGTGGTGGCTTGGCCCCAGCTGGCAGCCAAGCACCCACCCGGTAGTTTGTCACTCCCCACCCCCCAAGTGGGACAGGGAGACTGGACTGAAAGAAGGGGAACAGAGGTGAAAGTCTCATGGGTCATACTGAAGAAAGGGAAAACACTAGTTCCTGTCATGGGCAAACCAGGCTCAGCTTGGAGAATTTAACTTAATTTATTGCCAGTTAGCATAAATATTTAATTACTGAAGAGGTGTTGGGATACAAGACAAACATTAGGGCACATTTCCTTGCCCTTTCCCAGGCTGAACATCACTCCAGGCTCCTCTCCTTCCCCTTGGTACCATGACAGGTCACACTCAGTCCCTCCAGTGAGAGGACAGGCAAAGCAGGGCAGGGCATTGGGCTTAGTGAGTAGCAATTTCCCTCTCCCACTTCTCACTCTTCTCTTGTGCTCCAGCGTGGGTCCTCCTTGGGCCGCAGTCCCCCTGGGGATGTACCTGCTCAGTCCTGGGGCACCTTCTTCTCCACTGACCTTTTCACTCCCTTGTTCCATCTCATTACAGAAGCCACCTGCAGCCTCTTCATTTCCACACCTTGCCACAGACACCCAGCACGGTGTTTTCATTACCAAAAGTTTACATGTTTTATATAGTAACACTCTAAACAGCATATTCATTTCTTTTCTTTTTTTTTTTTTTTTTCTTCAATCTGGGAAAGGCAAAATCATTTGGTTTTATCTTGGTTAGTCTGCTTTTTTGTTCTTTGCTGCATAGCATACGTGTCTCTGGCCAACTTCTAAAGAGAAGTAGGTAGGTATTTCTAAAGAGAAATGTAGGTTTTATTTAGATCCAAGAAGAAAGTAGTAACTTCAGCGGAATGTATAGCACTTGTTTAACCTGAATGAACATCTTTTTTTGTCATTTCCAGCATTATTTCTATCACTCTCAAATTATACCCAGTTGAAAAATTTGTTTCAAATGGTACGGTCATCACATTTGACAGCTATGCCGTATAAGCACATACTTTAAATGAGCTGTATCTCATTATTTTATCTTCAAAAGTTTTATTCATTCAAACAATGTTTAATAATCACTAGAAAGCAAGAAAAGTAATTTAAAATACAAGTATTAAAAATATTGCCTCTCAAAAACATATTGATCTGTTGTAACAAGTTGAATGACTGGTCCAATGGGTATAAGTTTTCCTGCTGGTACCTATGTGTTGAGCACAAGAAGAATGAAGACTTCTGGCTCAGTTTGTTACCTGCTTTGGAAAAGAAAAGCATAGACAGCCTTTCTGGTTTTCTTGCTTTGCATGGAAATTATGTTATATAGAGACTGAAAATCCATTGAGAATACTTTCAGATTTAATACCACTTCAGTCTTTTAATAATATTGGTATATTCTCATCCTGTGCCATTTACTGTCAAAGTTAATAAAATCCTTGTAAACATAATCAGCGATGTTTATGTCCAGGTAAATTTGTTTTCAGATCAGTTGTTTCCTTCCTATGTTGTTATGAATGAGGTTGGAGGCTTCAGTATTGAGTTGTACCTCTAAAACCAAAACAATGTTGTTTGATTATGTGACTAGTAAAGACAAAGCTCTCTTGCTTTACCACGTATAACTGAGTGACGTGACTCAGTGATGGAAGACATAGGGTACAATCATTCTCTTGCCACGTAATTGTGAAAATTACGTGTTTTGTCTTGTGTTAGATCATAAGCAATGCAAAGTAACTATCTTCTTGAGAGGCCACCACATCTGCAACAGATATGCTAACCCTGGCTGTAAGTCTGCCTGGGAATCATGATAAACGTTTCAGTTGCTCGCACGGCTGATCCTGACAATAATGGCTTCTTCAGCTATTCACCTGCAGGCTGTAATTTGGCAAAAAGCCACTTAAATCTGTATTTGTGGAGAGATGTGCATAAGGTAACAGTGATTTTTCTGAGTTCTGTGTTGCATTTCTACTTCATCTTTCAATAGAGAATCATTGCAGCAGAGCTGCTGATCTTATATCTTTAGTCACTTGTGTTCAGTGAGACCTTGGATGTCAGTGTTTGAATATCACTGTCATATGCCCAGGAAATCCTACATAGCACTTGTTTTCTAAAGTATTTCCTTTTATAGAAGTTATGAGACTTAGGAGTCACTGTTGAATTAATAAGTCCCTTAAACTTGAGCAGAATGTTCTATAAGATGAAAATTGTAAGAAATACAGCTGTTGGTATAGCATGAATGAGAAATTGAGATGATTTGAAATTTTTAAAATATATTTTCTTTTATTTGGTTTTTTTTATTTCAACAAAGTAGTAATTTTCCATAAAGAACATTTCTTTGAAAGAAATATTTTTTCATGTTTTATTTGACTGCTGTAGAATGAAATAATTTTAAAATTGGGAGAAAAAAATGTAAATCAGTGTTTTGGTTAATTTCAACGATTTCTGGAAAGAGGTTCATTTTTATCGCTACTGTGAACCCAATTTTTTTTTTTTTAACTCTACAACTAGTATATAATTTTCCTCAATGTCTATTTTTAATATCATGGGTTTAAGGATAAATTATGACATGAATATGTCAGTGTTGGGAAGTTCTCAAAACGGCAAAAACTACAGGTAGCATAAAAATGCCTATAGTTATATCAGCTTATTGCTATTTGAAGTATATTCTCTGGTTTCTACATACATACATTTACCCAGAATGTGCTTGTTTATATTCATACACAGAGACTCAGGCATGGCGCTTGGGTTCTTAGGATGAATAGGATTGCTGTGCCTTTGAAGTACAGTTCTTTAGTTAACTAGGATGTATTTTATTTTAAAGCTGTGGTATAGGTTTAGAACTGTATCCATTTGGGTACAGTGTTGTGTTTTCGAACTCTATGCAGCGTATGAGAGGGAGTGTTTGTTACGCACTTGGTTTTATTTATGAATATTTAAGAATAATATCCTAGTGTGCTTTGAATATGACTAAATGTAACTGTTGTGATGCTGGTACTTACATAAACCACCTTTTTCTTTTAGGAAATGTACTTTGCTGCTCAATAATGTGTTTGCAGTGACAGCTGCATTGTTGATGTCCCTCTCCTTGTTGGCGGGGTCGTTTGAAATGCTCATACTGGGCCGCATTATAATGGGTGTGGATGCAGGTAAGCTTTTAGCATGCTGTACATATCTGAAATGTGTGTACCGTGCATAATCTTTGTATGCCAGCTAGATCTTTCTTTATGCTGAAGAGGCATTTCAGGGACTAACCACACTGATTCCAATGGAGCAAACCAGCAGGAAAAGGGTCGGAAGATCTACCATTTGGAGAAGACAGATCTTCTGGAAGGGATACTAGCCTCTGTTTTCTACCCTGGTTGTTCCTCCCTCTTCCTTCCCTCTAGCCCCCATAGGACATATCTATCTTCATGCAATGAAAATCTTTTGGCTGGGAGACTGTAGTCTGTTTATTAAAGCTGCTTGCTACTTTGTGTTTAGAAGTTGTTGGATCCCACGTTAATGCCAGTAGGCTTAAGTGGAAGGTTTGGTACGTCATCACTTGTTCTTAGCAATGTGATCTTCCTGGTTTAAAAGTAGATTGTGGAGGCACTGCTGCATCAGAATGGACTTGCAGCTAGCACTGAGATTCTCAGCGACTTCACAGATCGCTAGATCGTGAAAAATATTTGCGTAATGTGGAGGCAGACTTGATGAATTAAGATGGTTTTACCCGCTCAGTGTAATTAACTGACTCTAAACAATGGAAAGTGCTTTGACTTATGCATCACTAAGCCCCCTTCCTGGCAAGGTTTGGTCATGTTATTTGTAAGCACAAACTATGGTGGTTTGCAAGTGGAGGTACCTGTCACCTGCAATGCAAAGTTTATGGGTAATTTTGGTGTTGACTGCTAATTTTTGTCACAGATTACCACCAAGGAACCAAATTTCTGCAGCTGTGTAGATATTGTCAGTGTTGTACTGACCAGGGTCTTGCGTTTTTCTCCTGGCTTTGAGCAGCATTCTCGCCTTTATTTTATGCCTGCTAATAAGAGCTCATTGCAGCTATAAGATGGTTTGAGAGGAACACCTGACATACAGTTTACTGTAAAAATATTTAATCTGACAGTGTCTGCTCTCTCTGCCTGATGTGCTGGGTTGTTGTGGTTTTTTTTTTCCTCTCCTGCACCACTGCTAACATGATTTTGCTTGCTTTGGAATGAGCAATTTAAAACATAAAATCTGTTCTCCTGGTGCTTCTTATGTCTGAGTAACCTTTGGTGCTTCTCATCAAATGGCAGCCTATGCACATCACTCAAGATATGTAACAGATAATTGATCCCGTGGTTATTACATGGTACAAGAGTAATGAGACATGCAGAGAAGATAGTTCATATTATCTGTTGATAGATATAATTGCTCTTTGCATGTTTTTATGCTCCTCTTGAGGGCACCCAGACTCCTTTCAATAGAGCTTTATTTCATATCTGGCATAATGAAAGGGTGATTTGACTTCATATATGATTGTTTGCTTCCTTGCAGGCATCTCTCTGAGTGCCCTTCCCATGTATTTGAGTGAAATATCTCCTAAGGAAATCCGTGGTTCATTGGGTCAAGTCACAGCGATTTTCATCTGTATTGGTGTTTTCACTGGTCAAGTTTTGGGGCTGCCAGAAATATTTGGGCAAGTAAGTATTTAACAGGTGTTTTCTGTGAAAGAACATAAGCATGCCTAAAGTGTTATGTTTTCGTATTTTGACTGGATTCCTTATGAAAGTGGAAGACAGAAACATTGGCTTTTTGTTTTGAAGCACTTTAAAAGTTTCTTCCATGCCTTTTAAAATCATGAATGTGTGACTGAGTTTGGTAGATGTGACAAGCAACTCTATGGCTTGAGTGGCTTGTGTGTGTGTGCATATCAGGTTCTGCCCCTCTCTACCACTTCCTTGTACATTTATTTTTGCTGGTTTCCAGTTTCTTTGAGTACCATGGAAATGTCTAAGGGTGTTTGCTTTTTTCATTTGTAATTTTTCAACGTGAGATAGAACTGAAAAAGGCTTGGTTAGAGTTTGTACAAGGACCTGAATAGGAAGACTTTAGCTCAATGATTATAGTGTACCTTGTAATGCACTCCTACTTTTAGACTTGGAGGTGGAAGAGCAGAGTTAATATACACCTTTATGGAAAGAGATTATCTATTCTGATATAAGAGGTTATTTTGCTGTCATAAGCTGAGATTAACTTGGTGGCCACTGGATGTCGTCATTACTCTGAAAAAATAAAATTGAGGTTTATTCAGGCTGGCACTTAGAAACGCTTCATTCGGAGATGAGTCTTCAAGGCAGTGTGGAGGAAACGTCTGCAGCAATCCTCTCACAATGAAAACTGAACTAAGAATTCCTTCTGACAGCCAAAAAAATTAGTAAGTGATTGGAAAGTGAGGAGAGCTTGTCCTCCTCTGTCCATTCAAATTCAACTCCTTTGTAAATACATGATACCATCCTCCCTGACGCTTTTATTTTTGTCTGACGGGGTCTCCTATTCTGTCCCTTTATCCTTGGCCTCTTGCCCTGTTCAGGTCTCCTGAAGGCAAATGGTTTGATTCCATTTACCCTTTATTGAAGGACAGATTACTCCTTCCCCTGCCTTGCTAAAGCAACAGATTTTACAAAAAAGCTTAAAATGACTTTCATTGACCTTCACTGCATGGCTTCCACAGATGTCCCTTCTCTTGCTTTGAAAGCTGGTTTGTTGCAAATGTGAGTGCATTAGATGCGAAGAGACTGATCTGACTGCTTAGAATATATGACAGCCCTTACATAGTAAGGGGTTTTTGGTTTGGTGTTTATTTGGGTTTTTCTTTTCTGGAACATGCATACACTGTTAAAGGCGAGGTGTCATGCATTTCCCTGTTAGGTCTCTGGGTTATTTTGAATAGGAAATACTTATTCCTTGGTTTCAGCTCATTCTTGATCTTTTTATTTCTCTTCTCCCTTTCTTTTCCTCTCAGTTGTTGTCACTACCAAATTGTGGAGGTTGGGTTTCTGCTTCTACAACCTGCTTTAGTATGTAGTTAATTAATATTACACCATTAAAGATAGCCATTAATTTATGTAAGAAGAAATCAGTTAGAATTAGGTATTTTCAAGATAGGTAACATCATCATGTAAAAGGAGAAAAATTTTGGCTGGTGTGAATTAACATGTTTTCAGCAAAATTATTGGAGCCAGCTTGAGTTTTCTAGTTCGTTATGTGGGTGTATTTTCCTTTTAACATATTAATAAAATTTAGGACTGAGGGGGTAACCTCAGGCTGTTTGGAACATGATTCCCTAGTGCAGACTTACCCTTCTTGGAAGGCTTTATCGTAATTTCTGTTAGTTTCAGTCAAGCAAGGATTTTATTCCATAGTTTTATGTCGTTCCCGTTGACATCAGTGGGAGTTTTGCACCAGGAACAGCAGTCATTTCCAGAGGACATTCCTGGAGAGGGTGCTTGTGATGAGTTCACTTCTGTTGAAGCTGTGAGGCAGCAAACCTGGTGTTCTCCTCATGAGTTCTTTAGGCCTTGCAACACTTTCTACCCTCCCCTCCCCAGAAAACATTTCATTCAAATTTCTGTCTCTTTGTTAACATTCAAAAGTAGATCCAAGATTTTTTGCATACTATTTTCTATTTGTAGTCTTCTCCCTGATTGATGTCATGAGTCTGTTCACTAGTGAGGTAAAAGCTGCTTATCAAATCATAGAATCACAGAATGGTTTGGGTTGGAAGGGACCTTAAAGACCATCCAGTTCCAACCCCCCTGCCATGGGCAGGGACACCTTCCACTAGACCAGGTTGCTCAAAGCCTCATCCAGCCTGGCCTTGAACACTTCCAGGGGTGGGGCTTCCACAGCTGCTCTGTTATTTAAATTTTTCTCCTGTCTTTTCTGTTGGAGAAATCTCTGCTGCACTTGACGAGAGGCCAGTATTCCAGATCCACAGCCACTGTATTTTGGAGACATCTATACTTTCAAGGTGTCTTATTGATTTCAGCTGTAACCATAACGCAAACTCTTGCTTTCCTCAGAAGCCTGAGGTCATTTGCATTATACTTAACCCGTTCTGTAATATGCCAGTCTGTGGTATAATTCTATCTTTGTAAAATTCATAAATTGTTTTAAGCAGATATAGAGTTGTGATCAGTAGGACCTTGTTGCCAGGAGTGCCATTCTGCGTAACTGCTTGCACCGGCGTGTGGAAAACCACCTTTGCTGCATCTGTCTAACAATGTCCAGCTTTTTAGTGATTGTGCTGTCCAAACTCACAGGAGTATTTTTTTGTTGCTCTGTGGTTGGTTGTTTCTATCAGGATTGGTTGTAAATAATACTAGCTGCAAATTCTTGTGTTCTGTCATGGTTTCACAACAATTTTCTCCTGAGAAAATATCTAAGAGGTTATTAACTATAGTATCTAAGCAGTGATAGCTTTGAAGAAAGGAAGGACAAAGACTGAGTTGGGGACCTTTCTGGAAGATGCTGTTTGGAACAAGCATGGATGTGGGGAGGGCTGCAGGCATGGCCAAGGTCCTGTCCTGTAAGAGAAGATGACAGCAATGCTGTTTGTGTGGCCAAGTTAAATAAAGGGAAGGGAGAGGAACTGACTGTGCCAGGTTAACACAAGAAAGAAGAAATACAGAGGGAATGGAGTGGCTTAATCTCAAGGACCACATTGATACAAGAATAACTATAAAAGCTCTGTGAGTAACTACATGCTGGAATTCAGCAGAGCGATGTTTGGAACAGACTCCTGGCTGAAGTAGCTTGAGCAGAAAATTTAACTTTTAAATTGGAGCTTGATGCATTTTTCTGGATTATATGAAGTGGTTGTCTTCAGTGCTTCTGTAGAAGTCTTCCCACAGAAAAGGAGAGCTTTTATGTATGCTGTGGGGTATAGCCTTACAAACCTTTAACCACAAGCTAATTGATAACTTTTTCGTTACTGAATGCAACAATGTTCCTTTAAACTTGCAAGTGCGATAAAAATAGCTCCAAAGCACTATTATTTGAGAGTCCTTAACTGTTTTTTGTGTCAAGTTTGTTAAGCAGGCCAAAGTGTTTTTTTAGCAATCTTTTGTTTGTGAAGATGAGCTCAGGTGAAGCAGGAGATGTGGTCAGCACCAGGTTCAGTGCTGGGGGTCCAATGGTCAGCTTTGGCTGTGTTATTATTGTCTTAAGGTTGGTTGACTGTTTCCTATTCCTTCAGCCTTCCCAAGCTTTCTACTGGAAAGCACATTGACACCAACTTGCCAAACACTACTACAGGCAATTATTAAGTTATAGTATAAAAGAGCAGATGTAAAAAAATCTAATAATGATTGTGATACTTAAATACAGGCATTCTTTTGGATTCTGAATGTATAGGATTTTATTCTATTGGTCTCTGTGGGTGCTGATTTTAATTAGTCTGAGGAATGTCTTCTTTTAGTGAGCTATGCTTACCAAGAGTGATTATTCCAAAGGAGAAAAACTACTGGTCCTCTGCTGCTGTGGTTTGATATTCTATTTTCTTTCCCTTGTCTTAATCCCCTCCTGCCCAACAAATCCCAGCAATGTTTTTTGTTCAAGGTTCTGATTCTTTGTAGGTCATAACCTGTGGGAAACCACATTTACTATGTCTCAATTAAGGTTTGGGAAATTACACAATGGCAAAGCTGGCTGGTGATTGAGACTACAGAGCACAACCACTTTACATGCTGGTGACCTGCTTCTCTACACCAGCCTGACTGCTGAGAGGAGTGTGCTCGTTTTCACATGCTAGCATCTTGGTTTACTCTTCTGTAAGTATACCAAATTAAGCCAGAGCCCTTAATTCTTCAGGAAGCCATGGCAACTGGAGATGACAACTTGGTGATGGCCCACAGGAGTGCAGTCATATTTTCTGCTTTAGTGTGGGCACTGAATTTATTGCTACTAGCTACAAGATTATTTAATTTGGGGCACTTTTGGTTCTATAGCATGTGCAGCTTTCCATATGTCTGACTGTAGGAAAAAACAGTTATTAAGAGGAGGAGGAACTGTTTCAGACCTGTCACTTCTTCAAACACTGCCCTTCAGTGTTCTCTCAGTTTCTGTGATTCTGCAGTTTAATCACCCAGCCCATTTTTCTGACAGATTGCTCCCTGCAAAGCAAAGGCCAGTGCATTGTCAACTTCAGTTTTGAAACTTCAAATTTGCACTTATTGTCTTAGGGGAATATGGTCTGGCTTGATTCTGGTATATTCTGTGTACCCTAAGGTATTCCCCCTACAACCAACCAACTCTTCTAGTTCCTCTTGCATGTAATGTCCTGCTCCAAAGGTTTTCCTTAGGATGGTAACATCTTTAAAATGTTGTAGACCATCAGGCTGTCTTTTCTATTGCTTCAGCTTGTTTAATGAACATAGGTTTTAATCTTTCCTTAAATGATAGACAATTTAGTTTATGAATACATTTGCTGTAGTTATTCTATTTGGGTGGTATTTGGTGGGTTTTTGGGGGTTTTTTTTTTGGTACCTTGAGGTTCAGTATCTCTTTCATCTGTGTACAGATGTGAGAAAGGAGGGAAAAAATATTCACAGAGTCTGTATGTATTCAGGACAGATAAAACTGGAATTGTTGCCTGTTGCCATCTTTTCCTCAGACTTCTGCTTTGAGCCCCATTTCCCAT